AAAAAAAAAAATAAAAAAAAAAATAAACACATCATGGTAAAATTAATACCTTCTCAGCTTCGCATCGAAGCTAAAAAAATAAAAAAAAAAATAAACACATCATGGTAAAATTAATACCTTCTCAGCTTCGCATCGAAGCTAAAAGCAACTATAAGAATATTCAAGATTGTGTTAAAAAAACATTATCAATTATTATAAATATCGATGAAATAGTACTTTAAATAAAAATAATTAAATATGTTCAAAAACAAAGGGTCAAGTGGGGTATATGTAAACAAATGGGCTAATTTTAAATACATTTTTAAAAGATCATGCTTAAGTGTTTATTTTTTATTTCTACTTATAAAAATAACTATATATTTGAGGATTGAAATTGTCGTATCTAAAGTAATATCAACTGAATATTCTAAGAGGAATAATGAATTTATAATCTATTTACACTTGCACCAATTGAACTTAATCTATATAAAATAAAATTTCCAAACGCCACTCTATCTTAGCAAAAATTTTAAAAGTAAGGCGTATATAAATGAGTTATCTTTTTGGAATGTTTAATATTTGTTATAATTCAAAAAATAAAGGCAAAAAGTTGGTAAAATATAAATAATGAAAATGAAAGAAGAATGATGGGTTTAGTGAGAACCTGATGTTGTGGTTCTATCGGGGTCGTATGGTTCGAGGGTTTAGAACAATAAAGACAAGTAGATATGAAGAAATAAATGTATGTCTTCTTTATTGAGGAATATGAGCTAATAAACTTGTAAACACCTTTAATAGGACACTGAGGTAACGGGGCGGTAATCCGACCCTCGAATACCCAGTCGAAGTGTCTATTAATGTAGTCAGATACACATTAGGTTTTTAAACTCTTTTCGGGCACGGGGCGGTAATCCGACCCTCGAGACCCTGTAATGTGTATATGTAGTAAGTGTGAACAAACTGGCAAAATTACTCTTGATGTTAAAAGGAATTATAGATCTATTGCTTTATCGTTCTTTACTCAGATTATTAACTCTAAATAAATGGGACAATATAAATTAACTTACTTCTTTTATTCTTGTAAATTGCTGTAAAATGATTTGATAAATATCTCGATATGCTTATATATGTTTAAAAGTATTTAATTTGCACTTCGTCAAAAGATAAATAATTAAAACAAGTTCTTTTCATATATA